GGACGACGAGTAGGTGTTAGGATATGAGTGGCAGCATACGCTCGCGGAAGATCCGAGGACAGGGGCGTTGCAACCGGCATAAAGTAGCCCATAATTCACGGTTGAATCCACGCGAAGATTACGGTTACACCATGGTTGAAAACCGCTGGCAGCGAAGGCTGGGCTCCGGTAGCCGACAGTTATTGACTCTCGTGCCAGTCCGCATTCGGATGCCTCCAGCATCATCCTCGACGGAGAACACAAATCGCCAGATTTCGCCACGTGATGATCTCGATACGATTCTACGTCCCGATGGCCGACAGCCACGAAATCTGAATGAAATTACCGGGTGAAAGACCGGGTCAGATGAAATCAAGAAGCTTGAAACTACGTTGAATTAATTCGCTGATCTCCGTGCGATTTGCATGGAACGGGGATTGCATGGAATTAGGATTGCACCGGGTGGAAATGACACAGCTGTTGGCTGGCGAATTGATCGATCGATTTGCATGAAATTACTGGACCGGAGGAGTGAAAAAGTGGATCAGTGGAGGAGAAGTGGTGCTGGTCGGAGAAGAGAATGGCCGGAAGATTTAAAAACTCGGGATCATACTACGTTTACAAGAACTACGGCACGACGCGGTTAGGTGAATTAATCTACCGAACTGAATGGAATTATTGGACCGAAGAGTGGATGGCTGGAAGTGAAAAGTGGCACTGGAATATGTTACATTCCAAAATTTCAAAGGAATTCAATCAGAAATTACGTAAGTTAACGCTAGAACTGCCAAAATGATCAATCTACAATTTTTGTTAGAAATTTTATAGACATAAAACAATGTATTATTAAAAATTTAAGCGATTCTTCGAAAAATAAAAGCTTGTCTAATTTATTGTATTACAAACACTTTTCTATTTATTTACTTTAATGTTTCCGATGGAAATTTTACGCTATCGGTCGTATGTATCATTCTGACCATTTTTAGTTTGAATCGTGAATTCGTGAATTATTATCTTTCTTTTAAGAAATTTTCTCTTTAACTAGACTTGTCCATTGACACAGTTCTCTTTTGCGTAGGAAAACAATTCTCAAACGGAAAAAAAAAAAAAAAAAAAAACCAGGCAAAAATGGATCAACGTTGTTGTACAATTCTGTATAGCTCTATAGAAAAACCAAGTACAAAATTAATGGAATAATCTTTTCAACTCTGACAGAATACGCGTGTCGTGAATAAACGGTGAACGATCGCGAAACGCTTAATAGAAGCAACGAGGATCAGAGTATCGTTCAATCTGGAGAGAGTTTGAAACGAGGAAAGTTCGTGATGCGGTGGAAGTAGAGTGGTAACGTTACGACATTGTTGAACGATGTTAAGTTTATGGTGATTAGCTTAACGATCGAATCGTCCACTACATACAGGGTAATAATGCATTTTATAAATGTAAGTTGAAACCCAAGAGTGGATTCGATTCACATTTCTCTTACGAGGTTATACCTAATGTAGGCTACGCGCCATTATTTCCTTTAATTATTTCCGTCAGCGAGATTTTTGTTCTACTTCGAACGAGAGAGAGAGAGAGAGAGAAAAATCGAGAAACGTTGAAAAGATTCGAAATGCAAAATTATAGTTCACACGCGAGTCATTCATCCTCGTGGGAACTGCGGCTGAAACAATCGAATTTGTATTGTATCTCGGCATCAGTATTAAATATCGAGGCAATTCAATGCGTATTTCAACGTGCAGATAACAGTTCATTTTCTCTCGTGAGTATATTCCATTCCTTGGGAATCGTTCTTAAGTATTTAAATTAGTCACATCTCTGATTTGTATATTTCATATCGAGAGTCTAAATAAGAGTGCTTTAATAGATTTCAATAAATTGAAAACGAATTTTAATTGGGAATATTGTATTCTCATTTCTCAAGTAAAATAATATATTGCGAAAGCATATGAAAGAAGAACATTCTTCCAATCGTTCAAAGAATATTTTAACAGAACTGAATTTTATTGAATTCGTTATTAAACAAGAGTAATTCTAATTCATTAAAATAAAAAGAAGGGCCTTTTAAAATTCTCAAGGGTTCTATCGATTTTTAAACAAAAGAGATTAGAATGAACCATTTTAAAGAGGTGATTCCTCGTAGGACACTATCTTTCATTATAAAAAGAATATTGTTTCAATCACACGAAAAAAAATTTCAACAGATTCGTTCGAATTCAACGATATAAACAATGTACATTATAGACTTGTATTAATATTGCGTGCAATATTCGCGATTGAAAATAAAAATTCAACATGACTTTTACCGCCTTTTAAACAAGAGAATTGGTAATTTCTCGTAATCGTCCTCGATTATAAAAGAAATATTCTCTCAATTACACAAACAAAATTTTAACTATGTACTATGTATATTAAACCAATAAATATATATTTATTCACCATTAGAGCAATTTATATTTTAATTACACTAGTTGATATTAATTTCACCATTAAAACTAATTCTAATCCATCAGAACGAAAAAAAAAGAAAGATATTTTAAAAGATAATGGAACCTAAACCGTCCGAGAAGAAGAAATGTACACTCTCGTGTACACAGAGTCACCATCCTCGATTATATACATAATATTTCTTCAATCATTCAAAAGAAATTCCAACTTATATTCTATCTAATAAGTTCACAAAACGAAAGATCGTTTATTTATTGACGATTAAAGCAAGATTAATTTCAATCCATCAGAAAGAAAAAAAAAAAGTGGCCTCCTAAATTCAATAGAGTCCTCCAAGAGAATGGAACAAACCGTTCGAGAAGAAGAAGAAGAAGAAACGTCTGGGAGGTGATTCCTCGTGGGTGTACGGAGTCACAATCTTCGATTATAAGAAGCATAAGACACGATTCGCGTTAATGTTGCCAACGCGAGGTGAATTGAACGGGTTCGTGGCGTGGGCGTGCAGCAAACACATCCACGCACGGCCAATCCTCCGCTGTATAATCGTACGAGCCGATTTGAATGGGCAGAGATTACCTTGGCAGCCTTGTTTCAACCGTGTTATCAAGAAAAATCGACGTGTTCGTGAAAATCCGAAGCAACGAGAAACACACATCCCGAGCTACACACGCGACTAAAAATTACAGACACGATTGCGTTTCTCTCCGTGGTGCATGGCCATTCGAAATACGCGATTACAAAAAAGCATTTACCACCGACGATATATCTGCGATTATTCGCTACGCGTGTGCACGTACCGCCGCTTGTTATTCCTGTTAGCAATAAAAGTCTATAGAAGCATCGGGGAATGGTAATAGAGAGGCTGTTTAAAAGTAAACTTCTTTTTTTGCTATGTTTGTCCTTTCTCTTTTATTAGTTTTATTATTTCTGTCAGCTTTTACAGTTTCAACGTCGACTCTCCCCGTTTGTTGTTTATTATCATTTAATTTCGATGTCAACCAGCTGCGAGCATTAGAACAATTAATTTCTGGTAAAAAAAACTCTGGGGGGTTTTATTCTAATTACAACTGGAATTTATTATTGTTAATAGTTGGTAATAACGTAAAAATAACCGATATATGTAACATAATTTGTATAAGGAATTCTCGTGAGATGAAAATATACAACAACGAGATTGAACAACAGTATTTTTAATCTTTTCATTTCTTGTTTATAATTTATATATTTATACTTTTCCTGTTTATAATTTTATAATTTACAAATTTATAATTTTATAATTTATAATTTTATAATTTACAAATTTGTAATTTATAATTTTATAATTTATGTAGGTTATAATTTTTGATTAAATCATTTAATCTCGAAGCATTCCTCTCACTGCACGTACATAGAAGCGACAAATACCAAACGTAAAAATAATTTAAAAATTTTGCTCCAGTAAAATAACAGTAACAATCACTGAGATGTAGATTTTATCATCATTCAAAAGAAATTTGTCTTATTCACTGTATATTATAATATACTTTAGATATATATTTCATATAGAAATTTTTGTACATTATATATTTGTATTATTGTGCATTTTTGCCAATTTTTCCCAATTTTCCATAAATGCATAAAATTCTCTTGTGCTGGAATGACGTGCCACGCACGTCGATAACTTTTTGTCCTAATTGCAATATTTTCTCAGTTCTAAGTACATTTAAGTACTAACCCAGACAAAACAAATAATAAATTTATCACTTCTCAATAATTTCTATCCAGTGATATGATACCGACGAGTTCAAGAGAAGAAGAAAGCGACGAATTATTGTATACGGTTATCGTCACTCGTTATGGTCCGCAATCAGCGGTTAATCGCAAACAACGAGAATAACTTTAAGCTCGCTTAAATGACTGGTACAAACAAATAGAACTATACTGCTCGTACGCTTTTCGTGAGAACTGTTATAAGAACACCATAATGATACGGTCTTCGACTAAATATAATTTAACACTTATTTCTCCCAATAAGATGCCGCGCACTTTCTCTGGTACGTATATACGACGACCACGTTGATCACTTGGAAGTGGCTAAATGAAATGATGTACCGTTTACCAAGAAGCGCGCGGGGAAAATAAAAATCAACGCTCGCCGTGCGGGAAATAAATTCCCAGAACGCCAGTGTTCGCCGCGCGAACATAGAACAGCGTTCACAGACGATGCTAATGAAGCTAGCGAACCCCCTGTGCTAATATTAAAGAACCGTTTCCGCCGTTTGAAAACGGTTCTTCGTTAAATGCCCCGTCAACCGCAATTAAACAGCACTCGCGTTTTCTCGCGGAGAGCCGAGCCTTCAACAGCCGTTGAAGCCGCGCTTTAGACAACGCTGAAATTATTAATTCACCGGACTTACGGGTCTTGTGCAATCGTCGCGCGTTATATAACGTGAATAGCATCATGTGAAACACGTAAAATGAACTGTCAATTACATTGTATATAAAATTGTCGATAATTGTATCGAAATCTCCAAATTATTTTCTCTAATTTAAGTTTCTTCTAATTAAAATTCATTAAATTTCATAACTCGCCCAATTAAACATGAATTTAAATTGTATATTAAATACAAAAGTAAATTGATATAAAATTCTATAGGGTCTTACTGTCCCGATAAAAAAATTTTATATATATTATATTATATATAATTTTATATATAATATGTATAAAATTATATATTATATATATTATATTTTTATATATATATCATATAAAATTCTGTAGGGTCTTATCGTCCCGATAAAAAAAATTTTTAACATTTTTATTAAAATTCTAAATGCATAATTTATATATGAGACAGTATATAATAAAAATAAAATATAATATATTATAAAATATAATTAAATAATATAAAATAAAATATGATATAAAATATATTATATATATATATATATATATATATATATATATATATCATATAAAATTCTATAAGGTCTTATCGTCCCGATAAAAAAAAATTTTTAACATTTTTATTAAAATTTTAAATGCATAATTTATATATGAGACAGTATATAATAAAAATAAAATATAATATATTATAAAATATAATCAAATAATATTATAAAATAAAATATGATATAAAATATATATATCATATAAAATTCTATAAGGTCTTATCGTCCCGATAACAAAAATTTTTTAACATTTTTATTAAAATTTTAAATGCATAATTTATATATGAGACAGTATATAATAAAAATAAAATATAATATATTATAAAATATAATTAAATAATATTATAAAATAAAATATGATATAAAATATATTATATTATATATATCATATAAAATTCTATAAGGTCTTATTGTCCCGATAAAAAAAATTTTTTAACATTTTTATTAAAATTTCAAATTCATAATTTATATGTGAGACAGTATATAATAAAAATAAAATATAATATATTATAAAATATAATTAAATAATATTATAAAATAAAATATGATATAAAATATATTATATTATATATATCATATAAAATTCTATAAGGTCTTATCGTCCCGATAAAAAAAATTTTTTAACATTTTTATTAAAATTTCAAATTCATAATTTATATGTGAGACAGTATATAATAAAAATAAAATATAATATATTATAAAATATAATTAAATAATATTATAAAATAAAATATGATATAAAATATATTATATTATATATATCATATAAAATTCTATAAGGTCTTATCGTCCCGATAAAAAAAATTTTTTAACATTTTTATTAAAATTTCAAATTCATAATTTATATGTGAGACAGTATATATTTGTCAAACATTCTGATCAGACAAGCCTATTTGAATTAACCACAGTACCATTATTCGCCGATCTTCCACATCAATGTCTCATCTCCATTCTAATTTAACAATCACACAACATCCCAGTTGTACAACACGGAGGCAGAGCGAACACAACATCCCAGTTGACCGACTTCTCATCGCGTACGGACCAGCAAAAAAGAAAAAAGCAATTAGTTGATCGGCAAGACAGAAACGCGTCAAAGGGTAACAACAACTCTCGACATCGCTTTCCATTTCCGCGAAAAACGCAGATCGTTGAAACGAACGGAAGGGGCGACCGATCCCAACCTGGCAACCCAATCAAAATAGGCCGTGACGATTCTGATTAAGTTTCACCTATTCGCTGGTGTCCGAGCTGGTGGACCGTGACCACGAGGCATTTATCCGACGACCGTTCGCTTTCTACGAGTTTTATCGGATTGTCGATGGGGGAGGGCGAGACCCCGACGAGAGTTCGTCGTGACCGGTTCACGACCGAGAAATATATCTCCGCTGGAAAACCGACACGAACGCGAAACGGTAGGCAGGTATACAAGGCGCGGGCGTGGCAGGCGAGTGTTCCTGCCCTCGGAACCTTTCGTTGAAATCGTTTCGAGGAAAGACTAGGCCGGGCTTGGCCAATTTCACTTATTACACCTCGTTCACTTTTGCAATCTTGCCAAGATTCGAACGCGACTTTTATCTCTTCGTTCTTCCTTCCTTGCGCCCGAGACACCGATTTGTAACGTCTGTTCGACTGTTAGGGACAGTGGAGGAATTAAGATGACAAATGGCACTCGAGGTGGAAGGTTTTGAACTTTGTGCATTAGTATGAGTACGTGAGTGACTCGAAACGAACAGAGTTGAGCAGATTTTACATTCTTATCCTTGACAGTTTTTTTGTCGAGATTCGAGAACGTTCCACTTTTGAATAATTCCAATTAGGGCGAAACCACTGGAAACTACGACATTCTAAAATTTTTAATTTAATTGAATTTTATTGCTGATCTTTATTACGAAGAAGTGAAATCAAATACTTTAAACTATAGCCATCTAATTGGTATAGTAATGTATAATTTAATACATTGAGGATTAGAAAATTAGAGGATATTTCATGTATTTCTATGGAAGCTTTTTTATTTGATGATAAAAAAACTTTCGAATGATTTTGAATTTGTATTAATACCAAAGATAAGAACGCTCTATTCCAGATTGTATTTTCTTATCTTTTACGTATCTCTGTTGTCTTACGACAGTGAAAGTTCTGAGTTGACTTTGTACTTGATAATGAAGAAATTTAAGATTGCAACTAGACTACGCATTTTTATACATTTCTAGAAAATTTTTAAGTACAAAAATGCACATAGTGCAGAGAGAGTTCAAATTACAACGTTTTTTTACAAAAATTTTCCAATAATGTTTTACTTTTTAATTGCATTCTGAAAAATCATAATTATATAAATTATACAAATTGTGTTATATAAATTACATAAATTATAATTGCTGTAATTTATATAATTATAATTATGTAAATCTTGATCAAACATTCCAAGCAATTTTTCAACAAAAATTTAGAAAAATACAGACCAAGTAGTCGTATGTACTTCGATCATTTTATTAAGAATTCTCGCGTGCAATCCGCATGTTAAAGTCTTACCCTACAAACAAATTGACGTACAAATGAACAGTCGCAAAAAGCAAAGTCCAAAACTGCGAGTTCGCGTGTCCTACACAAGAATGAGCTGTAAAGTCGAGAAAAATCGAGGTCTCTGCTTCAATCAAGATATTACGGTGCTGGGAGGCATTAACGCGTCTCTCGGTGTTTCAATTTCACCGCTGAAATTATCATCAAACCTTCTACAAGAGTTTCACTCGAGCACTGAACATCGCGCAATCTTCAAAACTCAATATTAACATTATAAATATTTCGCGTGACCGTGAACGCGAGTGACCGACAATTTTTCGTGAAAGCAGCGTAGAATAAAAATAGAAATTCAAAGAACATTATTATATTAGAAGTTCTAAAGATTTGTATACTAAAAAAAAATTAAAAAATATTTTTATTATATATTTATATATTATATTGTTATTATATATTTATATATATTTTTATTATATATTTATATAGTTTTATTATAAATAATATTTTTAAACATATGCGTAGATTTGATAATTTTCTTTCACACGGTAAAATTCGAAACATCTCTCTAAACATAATAGCGTATCTTACAAAATTTTCCTGCCGAAAAAATAAAGTAAAGTAGTAGAGTATACTGTGTTTGTGTATTAGATACTTGGGATAGTTATAAACAAATACCAAACAACAAATTTCTTTTAAAATGTTGCAATAAACATCCCCTTTTATAGCGTCGAACAGGTTTATTATTATTATTATTATCAGTTGCGTTGTTGCAAATATTTGGCCCAAAATTGAAATATTTTCTCATTGTCAGTTTTAAGTGTAGTGAAATACAACCCAGGCAAAACAAATAATAAATTTTTTAGTGATTTCTATCCAGTGATATACCCAGAAAAATCGGCGATTAGATATTTGATCATCACGAACGAGACTGTCCGCGATTTGCAGACACACAGCTGTTCTCGCCGATCAACGATCGTCAAATCGATCCTAATATTCGCGGAGATTGCCGATCCTCCGTGGCGAATGCAATCGCGAGTATATCGTTCTGCAATTTGGCGCGAAGCTAAATTGCAAAGATTGCCGGGAAATGATGGAATCGAGCTATCGAAATTATAAGATTTCAATTCGCGCGGCTCTCGAACTGTTTTAACCATTTTTGCTCGTGTTCAAAACGTGATGAGCGTGTATCCGCGTAAATACAGTTATTCGGACACGATTTCAACACTGTACTGCACTGGCCAGCAATCGCGCGATCCTGCGTCATTTGTAGTAAAACGGTGGTTAGCAGCCACAAGGTGACGCACCTTCGCGTCATTCGCGATTTCAATTCTTTTAATGGTTCGTTTAAAACACGCTGATATCATGTATCGTCAGATAATGCTGTGAAAGTTTCTCCCATAAAAAAAAAAAAAAAAAAAAATAGCAGAATTTTTACATTTTTCATTTTTCGTTTGTGCAACTGGTTGCGCGGACCATAACGAGTGACCAAAACCGTACACAACGATTCTCGTCCTCTTTTTCTTTTGAACTTGTTATATTATGACATCAGTGGATAGAAATTATTGAGAAGCAATAAATTTACATAAAACTAGAGAAAATATTGCAATTTTGGGCAACAAAAAATTCTCGACGTGCGTGGCAAGAGGTTAACACGTTAAATCGATCATAATCATCGGTAGCCGCGCGATCGTTTATTGTGAAATGACAGCAAGGAAAGATCGGAGAAAAGAAAGTCTCGTTCTCTCGTCTCTGTCTCTCCCGCGGGATTCACCGAGGAAGAGATTGGGGAACGATACGGGCGCGCAGGCCGCGATACGCTACGATTTATAACCGGCTATTAACGGGCAGCTCATTTTCCGACGAGATATTTTTGCAAATTGAACGCGATCCGCCATCAATCCAGAGTAGAAAGTTACTCGGGCCTCGTTTGAATCTGCTTCAATTAAAACGGCGATCATACGGTGGGAAATAACCGAGATTAAATCGTCCGAGCTTAATTTTAACGATTCACTGCGAAAAACTAGAAACAGTAGTTGAACTTCCAACGTTTCATCCTTCTTTTGTTTCCTTCTTTTTTTCTCAAATTTCTGAGAGAAGAACATTAAGTAAGACGCGAATATTTTGATGTTTCGGTCATCTTGTAATTAAGTATATTTATTCAAAAGTATCTAAAATTAAACATTTATTCTAAATTAGCTATTTAGAAATTAAACTTTTATTCGAAATATATATATATATATATATATATATAATAATATCTAAAATTAAATTAATTTATATTTATATTATATCATATTGTTTTATTTCATATTATACTAAGTAAGATTTAAAAGCAAATTTCTAATTTACTAGCACGTTTAAATTCTTCTAAATTTTATATTTCGATTATCGTCTACAAATTTAACAGTTTAGAATATACTCCCGAATCAAAATTTCACGTGTATCAATTGATAAATATTACAACAATTAAAAATTGTAAGCATCGTGTAAAATACATTGATCTAAAGATAAAATTCTTCTCTGGTAATTTCTAGCGAGTACCAAGCTCGACATACTCGCGAGGAAAGAACATATTGTTTTGGAAAAAAGAACTAAAACTACGACACGTTTCTACTTAGTTATTCAACTTACTACTTTCATGTGTATTAATTCATAAACGTTACAGTTATCCATTCTATGAAACGCAACGATTGAAAGCTAAGATTCCAGTAAAATTAGTTGCCTCAAACGTTTTGATCATTTCTCTCCAGTATCAAGCCTAATTTTTCCATGAGAAAAATATACCTCTGTTTGCTTGTACTACTTTCACATTGTACTAATTCATTAATTCATATACATTACAATTAACTGATCCAGAGATAAAATTCCAACAACTTCTCTGACAATTTCTAATAAATATCATTCCTATCTGTCTAGCAAAGATTAAAAATTATTTACACTGTGAAATGCATTGATCTAAAAACAGAATCCCTGCTCCATAAAATTACCAAAATTAATGGTAATTTCAAATTTGAATTGTCGAGTTCGATCTTCCTACAAGAAAAATATGTATTGTATCGAAATTCATTACTTTCACGTGTAACAATTCACAAACTAAAATTATCCAATAAATTTAATAATTAAATAATAATTTAAATAATGAGTTTAATAATTTAATAATTTAAGTAACAAATTTAATAAGTTAAATAATTTAAATAATAAATTTAATAATTAAATAATAACTTAAATAAAAAAATTTAATTAAATAATAACTTAAATAATAAATTTAATAAATAAACAATAATTAAATAATTTAAATAATAAATTTAATAATTGAATAATTAAATAATTTAAATAATAAATTTAATA